GACAATTCAATTATCTGAAATTCGTTTTCAATTCAATTCAATTCTATATTTACAATCAAACAGACCCTAAAAGTTAAATGACCTGCAATGCATTAAACCCATGTAATATAGTAAAATCTTGGTTTTTTTAAGATTTTCAAGTAGATTTCATTAAAAATCGACAATTCAATTATCTGAAATTCGTTTTCAATTCAATTCAATTCTATATTTACAATCAAACAGACCCTAAAAGTTAAATGACCTGCAATGCATTAAACCCATGTAATATAGTAAAATCTTGGTTTTTTTAAGATTTTCAAGTAGATTTCATTAAAAATTGGTAAGGCGTTTGATTGAAAAGTTGATTAAAATTGTGAGTCCCAGAACATATGTGGTTGAAACTGAATTTAAGAAAAAATGAATTCTAAACAATGAGGACTAAATAGGGGCTAAGTTAAAGATTGGGACCTTTGCTACTATTGTCCCTAATTTTAATGAAACGTAACATTCGCAAACAAAAAACTTAAAAAATAAAACTTGTTACAAAACGAGGTCGGTTAGGCTCTTCTTCTTCCGGAAAGCCCCAAATTTACGTTACGACGTCGTGTTTTGATCCTTCAAATTTGCAGCTCCTTTCCTTTTTTCGGGAACCAAAAAACCAAACGTTTAACCTAAATTATCAAAATCACTGATTCAACTCCTTTACTTTAATCTTATTAGTCAGGAAGACCGGCTATGGTGAGTTTTCAATCCATTTTCATTAGATTTTCCTTTTCTTTTCGCGATTTTATCTGTACGCATGGTGGTTTTTGGCATCTTTTCAATTCGTTATTGTGGATTTTGATCTCAATAAGATATTTGGAGTAATGGGAATAATTGGTTTAGAGATAATCAACTGTGAAAAATTAGAACTCGTTGTGATATCCTCCTGAAATGATCGTGGTGATTTTGCATCTTTTAAATTTCGTGACTGTGGATTGAGTTCATTGAGATCGTTGGCATGCAATTTGTAAATAAGGGGCATGAATAGGATATCTGGTTTAATAATCTATGGATTTCCGCGCCAAGTGTGTGTGTGTTTTATTTATTTATTTTTTATTTATGATAGGTAATCAAATATTTTATTAATCATGGATAATACACGGGAAGTGTTCAATGCACAATTTCTTTAACAGATAAACTACTTATGTATACCTTGTGTTTATATTGAAAGCATTAGTGTGAGTTACGTTGTTTCATACGTTTGAACTTCTTATCAGGCTTCAGCGTTAGAATTTCCTAGGAACTGCTTACCTTTAATTCTGCTGCTGCAAGCTTCATAGGGATAATGGAGTGAGGAAGTAGGCAACTGATTTATGAAACTTTGTTTTCACAGATTATTTTTTCGTACATCTTGGGTGCTTCTTTTGGATTGCATTGTTGTTGCACAGTAGATTTTATAGCAGGTCATCTTCTTGTATCTAATTGCAATAAAAATGGTTAATTATTTTGATGAGGCATTACTTTGAAAATCAAAGTGCACAAACTAAAGTTGGAAAGAAAGGGGTACTCACCCTAAGGTTCGCTATTATTGATAACTTGGCATGATCTGGCTTGCAGACAAGTTGATCATTTTTCATTTTGAACCCCTCCCCCCTTCTCCATGTCTTCATTTCCTTTTCTTTGAATTGACTTTCACTGGGAAAATTTGAAATATATGGTGGAAATATGGTATAAAAATGTGGTTCCTCTGTTTTATCCTTCGTTTTTGTAGTGCTACTTTAGTTGGATGACGTCTAGGTTTTCAACTAAACTATTTCCATTAAATCTCATTGCATTTCTGCCTAAGCAGGCTGCTAAAATTCTTGCAAATCTGATTGTAATGGGTTCTGGGATTCTGATAAGGTCCTTTGCGCAAGCTTATCGTCAAGCACTTGCAAGTAAGTCTCCATCTAACTTATTGCCTAGAATTTCTACTTTATGCTCTTTTTTATGCTTAGGTTATCTTATAACTTGCTAGGAAGTTTCTCGTCTTCTGGACTTGGTGACCATTTTTATGTGGAAGGTGTTTTTCTCTGTTATAGTTTGGTCAGTAGAGGTGCTGACTTGATGATCTAGGTTTAATTCACAAACTTCTAAATATCTCCATTTTTTTATTATTATTATTTTTTTTTGAAAGTGGGAAAATAATTTAATACAGTGGGAAAACATAGGGGGGTAGATATGTTAAAAATGAGCTTTCCTGATCCAAATACAGAAAATTTTGGTGGCTAGGTACATTATGTGGATAAAGGATTATGGTATCGAAAATTAGGTGTTAGAAAAACTCAAAAGAAACTTCTTGCTCGTGTACACTGTGTAATGAACAGAAACTTCTCCTAGGAGGATGTTCTTAAGCTAATTCTAGGATTTTTTAGGAATTGAACGGGCTTGTTAGGTTATATTTCTTATTCTTATGATAGAAGGATAAGGCATATGGCCTGATTTATATCGTTTGCCATGTCATCATCAGTTTTCCTTTCTTTGGTTGGGGGGGAATATGCTAGGCTGCGTAGTATGGACTGAATCTGATGTTCCCATAATTTTTAATTGAATGCATTATCTCCAGACTATGTAGACATCGACGTGCTGCTGGAATTTTTAATTATCGTTTGGACAAAGATGATAAACAATAAAAGTACAAGCTAAGCTTTGTTGCTGATAACTTTTAGGTCAGTTACAAAATCCCTTTTCTCAAGTCGATCAATCAATTGTTATATTCACCGGAAGATTCTATCTATTCATTGCTATCACACGAGTGCTGGTTAGTATTGGTCTTACATCTCTCTTTTCAAGACGTTCTGGTGAAATTGCTTAGCTTTAGTAAGATTCTGTCTATATAAGTACTCCAACTACCAAAGTCACACCCCTTTAATTTAGAATCTTAATTGGTATGACCTTCACTTGCATTTCTTATTTTATCTGTTCTACCGTGGTCACAAATTCATGTTATAATCCTCATCCTCATTTCTGCTATATCACCATAAGTAACATAAATCATAGGTCGTCTATAACCTTTGTGTAGAACTTGTCTTTTAACTTTATAAGTTTCTTTTCATCTCATAGAATCTTTGTAGCAGTCCTCAATTTCTGCTAGCATCCAATGTGCTGTAGTTACAATGTTTGGACATGTAATTGAAAAAATACGGTAGGGTTTTAGTAGTTTGACTCATATCTTCTAATTAAAATAAAATGGAATAAGATTAGTTAAACTAATTGGCAAGCCAGTGACGATATTATAATACCTGTACTGCGATTATTGGCAAGGCCAAGGTATATGTGATGCTGAAGGATTCATTTCATAGATGTGGGTGTTACATTGGCTTTCCAGCAACCGCAACCCTCTTGCATGATTCAATTCTATCCAATAGTAGAAATTGACTTGTTCTTGAATGGATTTGGGATTTCTGGGCTTTGAATTAGATATCCGTTGTGGACATGGAAGGTCAAATTGGTGTACTTTCTATCTAGATAAGTTGTTATCTAAATGATAATTTATAAGTTGTCAAGAGTTGTCTTGTAAGTTAAGATGACTGATAATTGTTTCTCTATCTGTTGGTTGATTGTTATTCATTGATGACATGGTGGGAGGCAGGGAAACAATACATCAATGAGAAGTTAATTCAACAAGCTTTGTTTTTTTTCTTTTTCCCTATTATGAGGAAGAAGGAAGTTAAAATTCGTCTTTATTAAAAAATCAAAGAAACAGTCCTTTCATTAGAGGTCAGAAACAACCTGCTATGGAAAAAGAATAGGAACAAAGAAAAAGGACTTGAATCTATACATTGATTCCCTTTTTTTTGCAATTTTTTTGGACCATATGCATCAAAAGGTGCATGTACAGTTCCTAAGGGATATAATTTTACACTAATCGACCTACTTTATTGATAAAGATTACTTTTTTTT